ATGTGGCACGTTTTGGCTTCCCCTTTCCTCCTTTTCTACTTTTAATATACTGACTTCATTCTTTTTTCTATTTTCCATTATTTGGGGGGTTTCCCTTTTTTTGAGGATTTTGGGGGGCTTTAATGGCTTCCAAAATTTTCCCCCTCATTTCTAGCTCTTAATATACACTGACTCATTCTTTTCTTTTTTCTATGTGCTGTGCCCATTCAGGATGTTGGCGATGCGGCTCTCCACAATTTCCTCTGATTTCTGGGGTCTCAAACATACTGACTCTCATTCTTTCTTTTTTCTATGTGCTGTGTCATTCAGGATATTGGCGATTATGGTTTCCACAATTTCCTCATTTCCTAGCTCTCAATATATACCCAATCTCTCATTTTTCTTTTCTATGTGCTGTGTTCATTCAGGATGTAAGGATTGTGGCTCTCCGGTAAAACGAAGGCTACCAAACTTAGAACTACTTCGGGCTAGTGGTCCCATGACCACTGTGCAGGCACAATGACACGTCCGGCTACGGCAAGCAGAAGTTATTCGGACGCACTTAGGCATTTAACGATTCTATGGGACTTACGCACATGCCTCGTAATGCGCATTACGGGAGTCCGGCCTATGGCAAACGAAGGCCTTCGACAAAATTACGCACTTTACGCACTTACCTTCTAAGGCGCATTACGGGGAGTCCGGCTTCCAAACGAAGGCCACTGAACTTAGGCACTACTTCGGGCTAGTGGTCCGCGGCCACCTGTCCAGGCACGACGCACGTCCGGCTACGGCAAAACGAAGGCATTCGACGAACTTAGGCATTTAACGATTCTACGGGGACTTGATGCACATGCCTCGTAATGCGCATGCAGGGAGTCCGGCTACGGCAAACGAAGGCCTTTCTTCGGGACTTACGCATGCCTCTTAAGGCCGGAATACAGGGGTCCGGCTACGGTAAAGCGAATGCGGTATGTAACAACCTTTGGCTTTCAGAAAATTCGGTTCTGGCGCGCAAGTGTTCTCGTCGCTACAAAACCGCCCACCTGTCTGTTGAAACGGAAAATAGAAATAAACTGATATCATACGAACGATGGATATCGGAACACGTTGGACTTCTTTGAACCAGCCAGCGTCGTCCCTCGCAGAGGACGAATCGAGTCGGTCGAGGGCTTAGTCCTCCAATAGATCGCAATGGTTGGAGTTCTTTGAAATAAGTAGCGCCGTCCTCGCGGAGGACGAATCGAGTCGTCGAGGGCTTAGTCTCAATAGATCGCAGTGTGGTGGCTGCTCTACGGCACGATACCCCGAGCCTGAATTCAAGTGGTCTACGAGCGATCCCCTTCGTCTCCACGCTCCACGGGGTTCGAAAATCGTCGGCGACGGCAAAATCCTTCCGCCTGTCGCGGATATCAAATCAGGTGGCTGATGCGCAGACGCCACATTCAAGGGCGACAACAGCCGAAGTAGCGGACGCGCACGGCAACGACGGCGCCACCGACGCGGACCACGACGTCCAACCGCCCCCTAGCGACAACGACGCCCGTATGGCAGGCTCCAGCGGAACGAAAAGAGACGCCTTCGTAATACCGTGACGGCACTGGTCGCGGTTCCGGCTTAGAAGGCTTTAGTCAGTTTTCGCGCGGAGGCAGCGTCGCACCGCCGCTCGTTCGAGCGAGCACGCGAACCGTTGCTCCGATCCCGCGGTTCCTCTCGTACTGGACGGGATAGCCGTGGCCACGGCCGACGTAACACGCGTGCCGATCGGTAGGATAAAAACCAACCTGTCTCACGGTCTAAACCCAGCTCACGTTCCCTGTCGGTGGTGAACAATCCAACGCTTGGCGAATTCTTTTCGCAATGATAGGAAGAGCTGACATCCGGAAAGGATCAAAAAGCGACGTCGCTACGAACGCTTGGCCGCCACAAGCCAGTTATCACTGTGGTAACTTTTCGACACCTCTCGCGGAACGGAGCTCTCCGCTCGGAAAGGATCGATGGGCCACGCTTTCGCGGTCCGTATTCACCGAAAATCGACGGCCCGCTGAGCTCGCCTTTAGACACCTGGTGTTACTGCTTGACAGACGTGGCTCGCCCCAGTCAAACTTCCCCCGCCCGGCACGGTCCCTGGCGAAGGGTCGAGCGCGGGCTCCAATCGGCGGGAGCCCGCGCCTTGGCGCTAGTGCGCGGGCTGCTGAGCGACCCGTCCCCTTTCACCGGGTGAGCGAGGAAACGACGGAAGTGGCGGTATTTCAGGTTCGACGACACCGAACGACGCCGGTCACGGCGAAGGCCGGAAACCGGGACGAATGAAACGCCAGCACACCGGAGGAGGCGGAGGCCCCGCCCGACGGAGAAGAAAACGGAAGCAGGAGGCGAAGAGGAACGACGACGACGAGAGGCGAAACCCCCCACCACCGGCCGCAAACCCAAAGTCCCCGACCGCATCCGCTACCGCCAAACGAAACTGACCCCTACGGCAACTGACGGCTGCCGCCCGGCCCCTGATCAACGCGCTCCCAACGCCGACAAAGGCGTGTCTCCCGCCTATGCTACACCTCCCGTGTCTCCTCACAGAGTCGGACTAGAGTCAAGCTCAACAGGGTCTTCTTTCCCCGCCGGATCGTTCCAAGCCCGTTCCCTTGGCTGTGGTTTCGCTAGATAGAAAGTAGGGACAGTGGAATCTCGTTGATCGTTCATGCGCGTCACAAATGGATGACGAGGCATTTGGCTAACTCACGACAACCACGCCTTTTAAGCCCGTTTAGCCGCCTGAAGGACGTTGCCCAAATGACACCACGGAAGGTAGGGCGCTTAATTGTCATCTGCAGGCGGGGCCGGAAATTTCCCTTTAACCTAAGAAGGTTGGGTGAGTTGGTCCCCCTGTAGATTCGGAATTTCCGCGGTAAGCCAACATACCGGGGACAGAATGACTTATGTATTTTTTTTTGGGTGAGTTTTTTGTTCATCCAGTCACCTGAAAGAGCCCCAGCAGAGGAAGATGGGGCGAGTCAACCCCGGTGTGACCCGAGCATAAAAAAATGACACCACTTTCATTCGGGACGGAAGACGCAGCAATTCAGTAGCAAACGAAACAACGAAACTGTTTTAATTATAAAACAAACAAACAAACATGGACGGAGATTTGTTTTTTTCTTTTAACCAGAAAACCGCGCCTACCTAAACAGGGCGAAACGCTCGTCATTATGGTCTTTTTTCCGTTTTTTTTTTCGGATTATATGGCTGTACCACTCATGAAAATGAACCATACATATCCAAATATTAAGAGAGTTATTTCCTTTGTTCAAATTTAAATTTAACTTACATTGAAAGAGAAAAATCACATCGTGTTTGTGCCGGGGGGAATCGCTATTGACGATGCTTTGTTTTTAATTGTGTTTGTCAACATCCACAGAGGTTACCAGTTCCTATGTTGACCGAACGCTGCCAGACGAATGTGATCCACAATCTAAACAAGACGCTTAATGATCAAACAGGCGGTCACGATGCTTGTGACGTTGTGCGCGAACAGCCATCTAGGCCCACCACAAGGTTTTTACAAAGATGCCACACCCTGGGAGCCGTGGCGCTCTACGAAGACCGATAACAGGAGCCTTTTTGACTCGCCGGCCGTCGCGTGGTCAGAAACGAAAGTGGCTAACCGCGAGCGCCCTCTATTATTTAATAAAAGTATTTTCATGGAATAGATGGTAGAAAAGTTTGTCAGTGGTCAAGAAGTAAAAAACAATTATTGAAAAGGCAGAAGTTATATTTTGATAGAATCTGTATATAATATAAAGCCTATGAGAAATAAGACGGAATAATATAAGCCCATTAAAAAGGATCGTTGCATTTTTTTTCTTAGTTCCACCCAGCTCCTGAGGCAAATCATTATTCTAAGTTGCAAAAACGATTTGCTTATCATTTCGTTTCAGCTTTTTTTCTTCTCCTCTTATCGTTGGGTTTTTTGCTGATGGTAAAGTCCAAATTACTCTTAGTGCGAAAGCCAAAGAAAGATTTTTCCACGATCACTTTTTACAACGGACACACCGGGCCGCGGCGCTCCGAGGGTTTTATCTGACTTCTTGATGATGACATGAACACGGTCGAATATCTGACGAGAAAAACTTTCTTATTTATCTCTTTTTCGACGTCTCCTCTTCTACATTATTGCGTCACCGCGGTTTCGTCTTGCTTCGACGACGCCACAGGCAAAATTGCCAGCAGCACCAACTACAACGAACTCTATCGGGTTCAGAGAAGTAAGAAAAAATAATTTTGAAAAGAGGCCGGCCGTTCGGCGTTTTGGGGACAACAAAAGATGCCACCACGGTCAGGTTTTCAGGAAGATGACTTTCGCCTGCGTCTTTATTTCATTATTGCTCGACCGCCGTCCTACGCAACAGGTTCTTCCCACTTCGGAAAGAAAAGCTTCTGTGAACCGCTGCGCGCCCTCCGACTCGTTTTCGGCATCGGTCAGGCGCGCATCATTTTCGTCAAAAAACCCACCTAGCAACGACGGTCAGCATCGGTCTGCGTTGCTAAAGTACCATCCATTTTCCTCACATAAAAAAAATACGTTGTTATACATTTTTGATGGCAGAGCCGACTTAAACTGATGATCTCCGACCGCCAGTAGATTTTAATATACTATATCATGTTTAATGCATTCCATCACTAGATTACAAAACGAATATTTCGAAAAAATTACCGAACCATATAAAAGATCCATTTTCTTTTATGCGTCGTGCCTTTCGACGACCGACGGTAATGACTGGTTCACAACCGCGGGATCATTTGTAGCATTTTTTTAAAAACATAACTTTTTTCCATCCACCGCCTTTTAGTTTTTTATCATCCATTCACGCATGATCAGATCTCCTGGCGATTTTGTTTATTAAGGTTATGCCATTTGCGTATCGAATCATCTAAACATTCCTTCGGCAAGTGTGTCCCGGAATTTCCGCTTTTTTTGGCGGAAGGGAATATAACTACCCATTCTGTTTCGCTTTTTCCTTACACCTTTTTTGTACCGGTGCCCTCCCGCGTTCTCTCGATATCGCTGCGCCTTCAGGGGTTCTTCAGGGCCCATATGACTTAGAGACTGTTAACTCCTCGGACACCGTGTTTAATAAACAAAACATTTATATTGGGTTGCCGATGAAATCGCGGACCTTTTTTGACGGGCGGCTGTTGACGCCAGTAAACCCATCTAAAAGGCCCTCTGGTACCAAAATTTTATTTGTCCGGACGCATACATACGACGCGATATAGATATATATATATATATATATATATATAGATAGATAGATAGATAGCCGTTAAAGCTGAAACGAACACTTTCGCGCGCACCCGAGACGGTGGGGCGCCGAGGGCGCGCGAAGCGCGCTCTACGATCGTCCGACAAGAAAAACCAGGTCGCCAGTTGTTTTACCCGGATCGCGTTTTTTCGTTTCCTCCGTTAAACCAGAAGGGGTGATTTTTTCGCGGGCTTTTGATGAGAACGCCTCCGCCCCCGACAAGCCTTTTTCCTCGTGATTGATTTGATTATTAAAATCAAAATTGAAGGTTTTGCGCCGCGGATTATAGTTCGCGACGATATATATATATATATATATATATATGTGCCGTGCCGGAATGAGTATAAGCGTCGCGCCGAGAAGCGCCCGCCGCCATATGAGACAGCGTTGATTTGTTAGAAGGTGCGGGTGATCGTTTGGAATGGGCGACCAGCGTGCGGCAGCGACGGCGGAAACGGCAGCCTTGTGAGTGTAAGCGACGCTAATCGCCGCCAAAGCGGCGGCAGCGCGACTGCAGCCCGACCGCCGCTGTCGGCGAAGCGTTCCCAGGTGTGAGGGCCTCGAGGTCGCGACGCGAGCGCAAACGAGTTCCCCGGAGGGCGACCACCGGAACGACGTCCGCGCCGGCCTGATGGGCGGCTGCCGCCCGAGCGAAACCCAGGCAAAACCAAATCGAGTTTGGGCCACGTTCGGCAGCACCGGACTGAGTCCCCCGCGATCGAGTGAGCGGTCCCCGTTTACCCCTGGGCGGTTTCACGTTCTCTTGAACTCTCTCTGCAAAGTTCTTTCAACTTTCCCTCACGGTACTTGTCGACTATCGGACTCGTCCCGGTATTTAGCCGGTGGATGGGCTTACGACACAATTTGGGCTGCGTGCCGAAGCGGTGACTCTCAGATCGTGGAGACCGACGCTCGCCGTCCGCACCGAAATGGGCCTGGCACCTGCCGCGGGCGGCCCGATCGAGGAACTCCGAACTACGCGGACGAAAACGATGCGGCGCCTGCGATGAAGCGCCTCGCCCGCAGCCTTTACGGTAAGGATTCGCGACGAACGAGGTACTACCCAGTTCACTCGCCGGGCAAAGTCCTGGTAGAGTTTCTTTTCCTCCGCACGGTCCATATGCTTAAGTTCAGACGGGTCGTCTCAAGACACGCCGGGGGCAGCGGTGTGTTTGATTCGTAGGCGAAAACGCGACCACCACGCGCAGGTGACGGCAGAATACGGCGGCGGCGGCACAGATTAGCTATCGACAGCGCTGAAGGTTTGTATTTCGACCTCGCAGCGAAACGATGGTGCTACCACTGCTGCTGTTTGCGCGTGGCCTGAGTCAACGTCTTGGAATCTACGACTGCTCGCGGTCGAAGGGAAGCGACCCCGCAGTCTTCAAGCGGGAGACGAAGGACCGAAGTGACCTCAGGCTCCTCCTGCGACGTCCCGGTTTCTTCCGCGTGAAACGGGCAATTCTTTCATGAAGAAAGAACGACGGGCAAACGGTGGATGCCTCTCGACGATCAAGTGATGAGAAGACACACAATTTTCCGCCTCTCGACCGGACAGGGGCCCCGAGACAAGGGATCTCGCGGCCGCGGCGTTCGAGATGTCGATGTTCACTGGAGTCCTGCAATTCATCCGTTCTCTCGCGGCTGGCTGCGCTCTTCAACCGGACAAGCCAGTGATCCCCGTCCAGCGTTTTGTTTTTGTTATAAGTTTTTTTCGTGAGCGGGTTAAAAAAGTGTGCGAGGAAAAACGGCGATGTCAAAAGGCGGCGGCTGCTAATGCTGACGACCATGCGAACGCGTTTACGGATAAAATATCCGACCTTGGTGCCATCAACTGGCGAACGGAAGTCGAAAAAGTTGGTCGAAAAGATTCTTCGGTGGGAAATGCGGTACGCGAAGAAAAGAGACGACACGAGTGTTGGCAGCACTGTACCCTTTCATCTGCCTGCCGGAAACGATGGGCCTTTACGATGTACGGCGATGAGGTTACATCTGAAGCTAGACAGATGCGGCGAGAAACGAGCCAAGAGGTTTGTCCTGGAGTAGAGTATTCGAACAGTTCCTAGCAGGACCGATAATCGCGAGAAGGCGGCGGCGTTCTCAGGAGGATTTCAGAATACGCTTTCCCTGAAGGAATGCCGGCTGCGCGAAATCGACTCAGGCGGCATGACGGCGTTAGGGAGCGCGGTGGTAAGAAAAAACAAAAGAAGTCATGGGAAAAGCGAAAGTTGAGGTAAAAAGCGAGAAACAAAACATAACACGCGTGTTCATTCAGGTTGTTGGTGATTATGGCTCTCCACAATTTCATCTCCTTTCTTGCTCTCAATATATACTGGCTCTCATTCTTTCTTTTTCTATGCGCTGTGTCCATTCAGGATGTTGGTGATTATGGCTCTCCACAATTTCCTCTCATTTCTAGCTTTTAATATATACTGACTCTCATTCTTTCGTTTTCTATGTGCTGTGTCCATTCAGGACGTTGAAGATTATGGCTCTCCACAATTTCGTCTCATTTCTTGCTCTCAATATATACTGGCAGTCAATGTTTCTTTTTCTATGTGCTGTGTCTATTCAGGATGTTGGTGATTATGGCTCTCCACAATTTCCTCTTATTTCTAGCTCTCAATATATACTGACTCTCATTCTTTCTTTTTCTATGTGCTGTGTCCATTCAGGATTTTGGCGATTATGGCTCTCCACAATTTCCTCTCATTTCTAGCTTTTAATATATACTGACTCTCATTCTTTCTTTTTCTATGTGCTGTGTCCATTCACGTTGTTGGCGATTATAGTTCTCCACAATTTCCTCTCCTTTCTAGCTCTTAATATATACTGACTCTCATTCTTTCTTTTTCTATGCGCTGTGTCCATTCAGGACGTTGACGATTGTTCTGGCAATTTCTCCACAATTTTCTCTCATTTCTAGCTCTCTCAATATACTGACTCTCATTCTTTCTTTTTCTATGTGCTGTGTCCATTCAGGATGTTGGTGATTATGGCACTCCACAATTTCCTCTCATTTTAGCTCTTAATATACTGACTCTCATTCTTCTTTTTTCTATGCTGTGTCCATTCAGGATGTTGACGATTATGGCCCTCTACAATTTCGTCTCCTTTTTCTTGCTCTCAACATATACGGACTCTCATTCTTTTTTTTTCTATGTGCAGTGTCCATTCAGGATGTTGGCGATTATGGCTCTCCACAATTTCCTCTCATTTCTTGCTCTTAATATATACTGACTCTCATTCTTTCTTTTTCTGTGTCCATTCAGGTGTCCATTCAGGATTTCAGGATATGGCTCTCCATTCTTCTTTTCCTTTCGTCTCCATTCTTCTTTCAATATATACTGATTCCTCATTCTTTCTTTTTCTATGTGCTGTGTCCATTCAGGATGTTATGATGATGGCTCTCCACGAATTTCGTCTCATTTCTAGCTCTTAATATATACTGATTCTCATTTTTTTTTTTTCTATTCAGGTGTTGTGTCCATCTCAGGACTCTCATTTCTTGCTCTCAATGGCTCTCCTCAATTTCTTTTCTATGTCTCATTTCTGATTATGCTCTCAATTTCCTCTCATTTCTAGCTCTTAATATATCTGACTCTCATTCTTTCTTTTTATTGCTGTGAACATTCAGGATATTGGCGATTATGGCTCTCCACAATTTCCTCTCATTTCTAGCTCTTAATATATACTGACTCTCATTCTTTTCTTTTTCTATGTGAATGTGTCCATTCAGGATATTTTGTGATTATGGCTCTCCACAATTTCCTCTCATTTCTAGCTCTTAATATATACTGACTCTCATTCTTTCTTTTTCTATAGTTGTGTCTATTCACGATGTTGAAGATTATGTCTCTGTCAATATGTCCTTTCTAGCTCTTAATATACTGACTCTCATTTTTCTATGTGCTGTGTCCATTCAGGATGTTGGGGATTATGGCTCTCCACAATTTCCTCTCATTTCTAGCTTTTAATATATACTGACTCTCATTCTTTCTTTTTCTATGTGCTGTGTCCATTCAGGATGTTTGCGATTATGGCTCTTCTTTTTGGTCTCATTTCTAGCTTTTCAATATACTGAATGTCTCATTCTTTCTTTTTCTATGTGCTGTGGGTCCTTTCAGGATGTTGGCGATTATGTTCTCCACAATTTCCTCTAAATTTCTAGCTCTTAAATATACTGATTTCATTCTTTCTTTTTCGATAGTGCTGTGTCCATTCAGGACAATTGACGATTATGGCTCTCACAATTTCCTCTCATTTCTAGCTCTCAATATATACTGACTCTCATTCTTTCTTTTTCTATGTGCTGTGTCCATTCAGGATGTTGGTGATTATGGCACTCCACAATTTCCTCTCATTTCTAGCTCTTAATATATACTGACTCTCATTCTTTCTTTTTCTATGTGCTGTGTCCATTCAGGATGTTGACGATTATGGCCCTCTACATTTTCGTCTCCTTTCTTGCTCTCAACATATACGGACTCTCATTCTTTCTTTTTCTATGTGCAGTGTCCATTCAGGATGTTGGCGATTATGGCTCTCCACAATTTCCTCTCATTTCTTGCTCTTAATATATACTGACTCTCATTCTTTCTTTTTCTATGTGCTGTGTCCATTCAGGATGTTGGCGATTATGGCTCTCCACAATTTCGTCTCCTTTCTTGCTTTCAATATATACTGACGCTCATTCTTTCTTTTTATGTTATTGTGTCCATTCAGGATGTTGACGATTATGGCTCTCTCCACATTTTCCTCTCATTTCTTGCTCTCAATATATACTGACTCTCATTCTTTCTTTTTCTATGTGCTGTGTCCATTCAGGATGTTGGCGATTATGGCTCTCCACAATTTCGTCTCCTTTCTTGCTCTCAATATATACTGACTCTCATTCTTTCTTTTTCTATGTGCTGTGTCCATTCAGGATGTTGGCGATTATGGCTCTCCACAATTTCCTCTCATTTCTAGCTCTTAATATATACTGACTCTCATTCTTTCTTTTTCTATGTGCTGTGTCCATTCAGGATTTTGGCGATTATGGCTCTCCACAATTTCCTCTCATTTCTAGCTCTTAATATATACTGACTCTCATTCTTTCTTTTTCTATGTGCTGTGTCCATTCAGGATGTTGGCGATTATGGCTCTCCACAATTTCCTCTCATTTCTAGCTCTTAATATATACTGACTCTCATTCTTTCTTTTTCTATGTGCTGTGTCCATTCAGGACGTTGGCGATTATGGCTCTCCACAATTTCCTCTCATTTCTAGCTCTTAATATATACTGACTCTCATTCTTTCTTTTTTATTACTGTGTCCATTCAGGATGTTATGATTATGGTATTCCAAAATTTCCTCTCATTTCTAGCTCTTAATATATACTGACTCTCATTCTTTCTTTTTTCTATGTGCTGTGTCCATTCAGGATGTTTTTTGATTATGGCTCTCCTCAATTTCCTCTCATTTCTAGCTCTTAACATACTGACTCACTTCATTCTTTTTTCTTTGCTGTGTCCATTCAGGATGTTGGCGATTATGGCTCTCACAATTTCGTCTCATTTCTTGCTCTTAATATATACTGACTCTCATTCTTTTTTTTCTGACATGTGCTGTGTCCATTCAGGATGTTATGATTATGGCTCCACAATTTCCTCTCATTTAGCTCTCAATATATACGGATCATACTGCATTCTCATTCTTTTTTTTCTATGACTGTGTCCATTCAGGATGTTGGCGATGATGGCTCTCCACATTTTCGTCTCATTTCTAGCTCTCAATATATACTGACTCTCATTCTTTCTTTTTTCTATGTGCTGTGTCCATTCAGGATGTTGGCGATTATGGCTCTCACAATTTCCTCTCATTTCATTAGCTCTTAATATACTGACTCTCATTTTTTTTTTTTATCTGTGTCCATTCAGGATGTTGGCGATTATCACCTCTCTCTTGATTGTTCTTGAATCTCTTTCTAGCTCTTAATATATACTGACTCTCATTCTTTTCTTTTTCTATGTGCTGTGTCCATTTCTTCAGGATGTTGTGATGGTCTGGGTTTTATCTTTTAGCTCCAATATATACCATCTCTCATTTTTTTTTTTCATGTGCTATGTCCATTAAAATGTTGGCGATTATGGTCCACAATTTCCTCTTTCTATTAATATCTAAATTTTAGCTCTTAATTCT